GCTGTATGTGGGACGCAGCCTCAGCATGGCCAGAGAAGCGGTGCGTTGGTGCATGCCCGGGATCCAAACCTGGGCCACCAGTAGCGGAGCGCGTGCACTTAACCGCTAAGCCACGGGGCCGGCTCTCACCTTTTCACTTGAAGCATTTTATGGCTTCTCTTTGGCATATCCAAATTGCCAGCATCACTACTCCTGCGCTTTGGGGCCATTATTAAGTAAAATAAAGATTACTTGAACACAAGCACTGTGATACCACTACAATCAATCTGATAACCAAGACCGCTACTAAGTGACTAACCAGAGGGTAGCGTATACAGTGTGGATATGCTGGACAAGGGATGATTCACGTCCTGGGCAAGACGGAGCAGGATGGTGAGAGATTTCATCATGCTACTCAGAATGGCGTGCAATTGAAAACTTATGAATTGTTTATTTCTGGAATTTTCCATTTAATATTTTTGGACTACGGGTGACTGTGGGTAACTGAAACTGTGGAAAGTGAAACCTCGGATAAGGGGGTCTACTGTATGTATTTTTCTTCTTCTAGTGTCTTGTCACCTTCCTCTTCTCCCCACCTACCAGCCCCTCCTGACTTTACCTACTGCCCTCCCTAGCTACACTCACTGCTCAACTCCTGGCCCCTACCCAACCACCTTCCATTTCTCCCCGCCCCTAACAGCAGCTGGCCTTGCTGCCGGTGAGACGGGACAGTTCAGACCGCCGCCCCCTGCACCAAGCATCTGTAACCAGCACCCATGCACTTTCCTGCCCTCTGGACACAGTGGAGCAGGCAGCTTCCAGCAGTTGAAGACAAATGTTTCCACGAGGGCTCTGTGCTCCCCTCCCCTCCTGCTTCCCTGAGGACCCTGCTCCAGGTGTCCCCCTCTTTCCTTGGTCTCCATTGGCTCCTGACCCTCAGTCTAAAAACATTCTGGTCTTTCTCCTATAAAAGATACTGATAATACCCCTCCATGGACTGGGTGGCCCCTCTAGTTCCCACCCCACATCTCTGCTCCCTTTCTCAATCACACTTCTCCAGGGGATTACCTAGATTTCTCCTCTTCCCATTTGCACCTCAGGTTCACCCCCTGCCATCCTCCATCTTGGTACCAAAGCTGTAGGACCCTTTTCAGTCCTTCTCACCTTGACCTGCCCATGCATTCTAGAGATGCCCTCCCCCTCCCCACTCCTCAACTCCACCTGGCAAATCTCTTCACCCCACAGATGTTGGGTATTCACAGGGGCCACGGCAGTGAACGAGACGGACATGGTCTCTGTCCTCACAAGTGCTCACCCTAGAGGAGGGCCGTGGGCAACAAGCAAGTAGACAGATGTGTAAACAAGACCAGCTGCTGAGAGGGGCCACGAGGAAAATAAATCTGGGAGACTAGAGGGTCTACTTGCCATGGGGTCGGGGGTGGTCAAGGAGGGCTGTCCTGAAGAGGTGACCTTTGAGCTAAGAGACCAGAAAGGCAAGAAGGACCAGTCGTGTGAAGGTGAAAGGGAAAAGACGGGCACAAACTTGGTGCATCTGAGACTTGCCCTTTCAGGCTCGGTTTAAATGTCACCTATCCCAGAAAGTCTTCCCCCACTCCCTTCTCAGGGTCCCCAGAGCACCCTTTGCTGCCCCCATCGTGGCACTAACCACACTAAATTGCTGTTGTCTGTGTATGGGTCTGTCGGCCCCACCACACTGTGAGGCACTCAGGTCGTGTCTTATTTGCCTTTGTGATCCCAGCCCGCAGCACAGTAAACCCCAGAGGTTGAGAGGATCCAGGGAGGGGACACACAGCCCTCCCTGGCCAACACCACAAGCTGCCATCCTTGCTCCTTTGGCAAGCCACCAAGGCCAAACACAGATGAGAGGCTTTTCTGAAACACAGCCTTGGAGTTAGTATTTTCAAACCCATCAGCTGACAACAGTCCCCACCTGCTCCCATTCTTGTCCCATGTCCTCACCTTTACTCTGTCCACACCCTGCTGGGGTACCTTCATTTTAAACCTCCTTGGGAACCATGCTGGACACCACAGGATGCAAAAGAATTAAGAGGTTTAGTCCTGCCCTCATGACACCAATAATAAGCCAGCCAGAAAAACAGGGACAGCCAACTCTAAATTTTTGGGGGCAAAGCATATATTTTGAACAAAACAAGAGATTTGATATTTCAACATGTTTGATGTAATTGTTCAGAATGTCAGGTATCCGATTAGAGAGTCCCCCCCCAAATCTCGATAGAGATTATGTCGTTTATTTTTAAATCATTATTATGCAACGTAGCCTGACATCTCCAGTAAGATTTTTTTTTTTTTTTTAAATATTTGTGCTCTTTTTTTTTTTTTTTAAAGATTTTATTTATTTATTTTTCCCCCCAAAGCCCCAGTAGATAGTTGTATGTCATAGTTGCACATCCTTCTAGTTGCTGTATGTGGGACGCGGCCTCAGCATGGCCAGAGAAGCAGCGCGTCGGTGTGAGCCCGGGATCCGAACCCGGGTCGCCAGCAGTGGAGCGCGCTCACTTAACCACCAAGCCACGGGGCCGGCCCTCCAGTAAGATTTAACTTAGCTAAAACATTACCAGAAACTGATCAAACTTAAAAAAGAAACTAGATTTATTCTGCGTCTATATATCCATTTATATGTTGATAGAGTGCTTAAAAGGTAGCAAGTACAGTAGAGGACTGTGTATTTAAAACTATACTTGAATAGATAAAGGAAAAAATGAGGCACACAATTTTTAAAAATACAATAAATTCTCTTTGGGCCTCAATTTTCTTATCTGTCTAATGGAAACAGTGATTCCCACTCCCCTATTTCACAGGTTTTCTAGAGCAGTGGTTCTCAACCAGGGGGGATTTTACCTCTATGGAATTTTGCAATGTCTGAAGGCATTTTTGTTGTCACAACTCAGAGGAGGGCGCTACTGGCATCTAGTAGGTAGAAGCCAGGGATGCTGCTAAATGTCCTACAATGGACAGGGCAGTCTCCCACAACAAAGGATTATCCAGCCCCAAATGTCACTGGTGCCCAGGTTGAGAAACTCTGGTCTAGAGGATTAAATAGTTTGAAGGCACTTAGCAGAGTAAAAGCCCTTATGTTTTAGTAATTTGTTTTATTTTGCATTTTTTGGTAAGGCAAACACAGGTTAAACATTCAAACTTTACACACAGTGAAAAGTAACTCTTCCCTCCCAAAGCTGACCCCTAGTGCCTCAGTGCTCCTTCCCAGTTTCTCCTGAATCTTTCCAGAAAAATTCTAGGC